TATATATATATATATATATATATATATATATATATATATATATATATATATATAATTTGTATTTGACGTTAGTGGTCACGGGGACTTTTAGTTACCCGTGACTTCAGAATTGGAATATGAAGCACCACATACTATGTAAACACAAACACAACAAAACACCCAAAACTTTTTAAAAAGGTCGCTCGGCGGTCGCAGCCTCTAGTAAAAAAGGGGTGTTATCTGTACTGTAATAAATAATATTAGTATAAGGGAGCGTTCATGTTACTAACCTCCAACTCGGCCCCTCCAGCGAGGTTGAATAAGTACCCCGGGGCTATATTGCCACCAGGATTGTCGATGATGTGGAGGTTACACTCGCTGTCCGCGTCAAACGGGCTGTTGCTGTAGAACCCCCGAGTTCGGCTGGCCAACGTCACCACTGAGTCACAGCCTACACAGAGGAAAGGTGGTTAGGGATGTTGACTAGAATATATTAGTTTGAGCGAAATGTTGAGCCCATGGGAAAACCACTTTTCACGTATTTTTTCTCAGGTGAAATTGAGTAGCTTCGGTTAGGGACGCCATCTGGGTTGGGGTGTAAAACTTGAGGTCGAGCACATTTTAGAACCCACCACACTTATAAAAAAGAGCAGGGATCCTTCAGCCATTTACGCATGCCCTCCATGTATGCAATGAATTGACAAACAAGGCAAACAAAATAGGCAAACATACCGTGAAGAAAATGAATAGACGTCTTGCCGGATCCGTCGTACCTGTGTAAACAAAATTTGAAACATTGTCAGGACATCTTGGGCACTTGGATACATTCATCTAGATCTGAAGTCATATGCCTATCAACTGCTTATAAAGTGTTCACATTTATCATGAAAGTTCGTCTGTGTTGGTAGTAATCATAGTAAAAACGTTAAACTTTATTCCAACACACAGTTTACAGAGATCAAATTTTCAGCGACCACTGTCGCCTTCATCAGGATACTTAATGACCAATCACTTCACAACGTCATCTTGCGAGAGTTACGATTTACAAACACGTGGCCTTATTCTCACGAGACTTTACTGATACGTGACGTAAGCAATTGATATAAACTCCCTGGTACTTTTTATCAATTGCTTACGTCACGTATTAGTAAAGTCTCGTCCCAACCATGATCTGGAGAAGGTTGGCCAAACGGTTAGCTTTATAATGTGTGAGAAGGGCTCAACTCACTCTAGCGACGTCACCCCGTGGTGTATTACTGGGTTAGAAATTCTGGCCAGGCTGAACTTCCTGACGGTCACGGCTCCTCCCAGCTCGTCTATGACCCACCCGTGATGAACAGCCGCTTTACACACAGACGAGTTCTACAGCGCGAGGGAGAAACGTACGTAAGGATATATCATTATCATCATCATCGTCGTCATCGGTCGGCTGCAACGCAAGCGACTGCAAGAGCCCTCCACTGCACCTTGTCGCTAGCAAGGTTGGCTATCTGCTTGGCCGTCAGTTGGCTGTAGTCTGGTCGTCTCCCTAAAATTGTTGTATGCCAATGGATTTTTCAGTACTTCAATGTAACCTGTATTCCTGTACGTTATACATTGTCTGACCATGATATCTTCCCTCATACCTCAAGCACTTTAACACTTTGGTGTACATGTTCTGGTGGCGAAAATATACTCACAGTGCTGTACATCCCGTCACCATAGATTGGTCCGGCGACAGACGCACAGCCAGGCGGGCAGACGATCCTGAAACACACCATTTTATTTTATCCCTCACCCATGTTACATGTAGACCACAACAACAGACAGTCACCTGGATGCAAGACTGTTTCCAGGGCCTACACGGACCAGATTCTCATCATCAAGGCTAACAGGCCGCCGAGGAAGCTATTGGTGAGGTACTCGGGAAAGTTTTTACCTGGATGTATATTCTTTATCGACGACTCTCGGGAGACATATTTCTTAGGGCCTAATTTAGAGAGGTCGGCCTGTGGTACAATTTCCATGGGGCCCTTCAGCCATGCTGGTGTGTAGGTCCTGGAAACAGTCTGGTAAGTAGCAGGCTTTGCACCAAAGGCCAGTTATATACAGTATACAACTTATCTAATTACCAGTACGCACTGTTGATCAGGTACTTCCTTATTACTTACAGGGACGGAAGAATTGTTTCGGTTGACTGAGCTTTGGACGTGGGCTTGTGTGCATGTTTGTCCGGACGCAGCACTTAGGTAGGGGGATATTTATTTAATTTATTTATTTAATCTTCAATGACACCTGGGTAGACCCTTTAGCTAATAGCTGATTTCCAAGGAGGCCCAGGGGGAATACAATATGTAAAAGAATTATAGATTATACAAAGTACATAACAGAAAATGTAAATGAAATCATATGAATGTGAACATGAACTGAGGAAATTTACAAGAATCATAACTTCAAAACATAATCATTAATGAGGTCAAAGGTTTCAGAGGTCAAAGTTTTCAGAATCTGGTCGAGAGCCTGGGTTCAGCATTGGGAATAGGATTGCACATCGTCGATTTCCTGTTTTCGATTGCGATGTGTATATGTGGAGTGACATAAGGCTCTCTCATTTATTTCACCATAACAGTCCGTTATGTGTATGTAGACAGAAAGTTCATACTCACGTGAACACTTCCTCTGTGCGGTCGTCAGCAGTGACGTTGCAAACTATGAGTAAAACAACATGAAGAATGTTAGTACGTAATACACCAAAGTTCATTTCCTACATTCATACAGTTTTACAGTAGTTGGTTTAAAAACCGACCAGGCATAATGGTATGGAGGCAATTTGGACATTACACGACACTAAATATACATAATTAGCCTTACCTTCATCGTCGCTGTACGGCCAGGGGTGAGCTTCAAAACAGAGGGATCAATACATTGTTATCAATATTACAAGAATACAGCACCAATATAATAACAGATATACACACTTTATCAATATCAGATCAATACGTTATGTAGTCATCAATAACAGATCAATCAATAACAGATCAATCAATCAATAACAGATCAATATCAGCAGAATGAGAACTGTGATGAATCCCAGAAGGCAGGACAATATATAGCAATAGATATTATAAAAATATTTATAAAAATATAAAGATCATAGCGCAAATAATGGATTGTCAAAGGTCAAACGTAAACACCAAGAACTGGTTAATTGTTTTATGATTTCGCTGCAGTGTTTGATGCGATAAAGGTTACACCGCGTGCTAAACTCACGCCGTTTGAAGTACAGATCAGCCCCGGTGAGGTTGGCCGGTGTCGGGCAGGACCGTTTGAGCCTGCAGGAGTTGTCGGAGTCGCCCGGCACGTGCACGAACGCCCCGCACGATCCCGAGGCCGTACAGAGGTGCGCACAGGTGGCCAGGCTCGTGTGGCCGTGGTCGCTGATGTTGAACAGCCCGCCGGTACAGGCCTGGTCTTTCTTCCGTATGTAGCCGAATGCAGGGTCTGGAAGAAAGTATGGAAGTATGAAAACTCGAGTGCAGCGCTACACGGTCCTTGCTATTTTTTTTTGTATTCCAACATCTTATCACAAGACGTGGTGACGGCACACTCAAGTTTTTCAATTTATATTAATGCCGCCACCAACAGAGGGGACAATACAATACTCATTTGCACCTGAGCAAAGTGAGGAAAGTCGTGTAAAGTGTCTTTCCCAAGGGCACAAGATCGGTGGCATGTCAGGACTCGAACCCGGGACCTCTTGATTCCGAGTCGAGCACTCTGCTGCTACGCCACACGTCCTTGTTATTGTTATGTGTTGATGATTGAATGAATAATGTATGGAGGGCCTGGTGTAACCAAGGACGTTCTTTCAGAGCGTTCTTTCAGAGCGTCCTTGGTTTAACCAAGGAGGATTAATGGTTAAACCAAGGACGTCCTTGGTTAAACTGTCGTTAGTCGGACGATGTACTTTATGACACGCTGAGTTTTTGTCTTCTCTGGTTTTCATAATCATGAGTATGATCCAAAACCTAAGTGAAGTTTCACTTTCACGTTACAGATGTCTTTAGAAACATTCCCTGGCAGCCTGGAATGCCCCCTCACCTTTTCATGAAGTCATGAAGTGTATGTGAAATATTGGACAGTAGTGTGCACTGCAAAACGAAGGCATAAAACCTCTAGGTAACGCCCATAATAGAGTCAATCGTGCTTTTTATGGCAGTCAATTATGACATGAGAAACGTATATACAAACCCCAGGGGAGTTTGTTTCAGTCGGCGTAATGGTTTCACAGTCTATTTTTGTAACTGTACATAGGAATAGTTCCAGCAAAAAAACAGGTTGGGAACAAGAAGGAAATGTCTTCTTATTTAAACCTTGCAACACACACACACACACATACCATGACACACGTACGCGCAAACACACACGCACACACACACACACACACACACCTGCACACACACACACACCTGCACACACACACACACACACACCTACGCGCGCACACACACACACACACACACACACACACACACACACACACAACACACACACACACACACACACACACACACACACACACACACAATTACAAGCACACATGTGCCAAAACATATTTGCCACAGCCATTAATAAACTTGTGTAAGACTACAACTATGGCAAGTATATTATTACCAGATATTCATAAATTGTGAGTATCATCTTGGTTTTGAATTATCAAAACAACAACAGAACACGTTAATGGAAAAATCGAAAAATGTCACCGGATCAAGGACTATGAAGGATGTGATGGGAAACTGCTTATAATTTCTAGCGTTCATGTGTCGTACAGAATTCAACTGACTTCTTACCGGAAAAGATTATCGGTACCGGTTGTTATCTTATTATTCTGTTTAAAAATCATACATAAAATTCGTAAGGCGACCAACGACGTATGTGACCTGTCCCTGTATCTAATGACAATGCCCCTACTGTATGTGTAAGCCAAATACATATACAGCTGCAGGGTAACTTCATCGACATCTGAAATACCTGCTCAGCCTCAATTTTACCTGCACTTACCTGCGTATGAAGGTGGTGTTTCGAATCCTCCCAACCAACAGCATTGTGCGTCAAGAGATACATTACAACATACATATATCATATGTTGATCCTGGTCACAACCGTACGTTTTTGTCCGTACGTTTTTTGGGAGGCTACGTCTGCTACGTTTTTTCTGAAAACGTGGGGAAGGAGTGGCGTCGACGCACGTCACTCGCACGGTTGCGCAAGGTGTAAGATTGTGGTCTGCACGCCACGTCTGGCCGTGTGCGGTTGCGTGCATCGTTCGTTGCGCAAGTGGTTAGTGAGTTAACGTACGATCTCTGTGCGATTGCAACTTTAATTTATTTACCGTAAGGAGGCCGTACTCACACGTGCTTCTTCCGTACGGTACGTATATACGGGACACGCGCGTCGCCCGTACTCGCACGCACCGGTGGTGAATCCGCAGACCGCACGTAGAAAAAGTTTTACATGCACTTAAAGTTCTACGGCGTGTCTGCGTGCTCCCAAATCCGTAGGATTCCGTACGGAGGTGGTACTCACCACGCACGGATGCCCTACAATGTACGTTTGCCCACGTTTTTGCACGTAGACAGCACGCAGAAGCACGTACGGCGGGTTGTGACCAGGCCTTAAGCTATGTAGAAATCATGCCTACTTACTGGAAGAAGGAACTGACGTCCGCTCTTCACGTAGACAGTGTCCCAGGGAGACTATCTGGACGAGGATGATAAAAAACCACCACATCGTGGAAAGTGTCTCTCCGTACATCCGTCAGCAGCGGTGTCGTCTGACAGACTAACACACGTCCTTCTCGCTGAGAAGTGATGAACGAAGATACAACCACTTAGCAAGATGAGGTACCACCCTCAGCTATTGTGTGTGCCATAAGTGTGGACAGTAAAATTATGTTGACGATGTACATAAACACAATGCAATGTTCAGCGTTGCATACGAAATGTACATTTCCGTGCTATAGGAGTCTAATAGCGATGACAAGAAATTAACGATGTATTCTTACCGATGTATTTTAGGACTAATATTTGATAATATAAACGATGGCAGAAAAACTTAGCGATGTATTCAAGGACTCTTATAACGCCGACAAAAAACTTAACGATGTATCCAAGGACTCTGATAGCGCTGAAAGAAAGAAAAAACAACTTTACGATGTATTCTGCAAGGCCTGTTCGTTTTGTAGATAGCACATTTGCTGGTCACCATGTAAACAACGGATACAACAGTCGCCTCTCACTATGAAAACAATGGATGCACGTTAAGCAGTATACAGTAGTTCAAATGGTACGATCCTCAGCTGTTGTGTGATGTTGACGATGTACAATCCCTGGCGCTAGCGCTCTAAAATACTGACAGACATAATGTATGGGCTGTATTTTGCATGGCCTGTACATTTTGTAAATTCAGAAATAAATGGATACAATAGACAAGATTTAGTAGTTCTTTAGTAGTTCCTAGAATGTAGTAGTTCTTTAATACTGTGTATATATATGTAAATAGTATGTATTCAGTATTCTCTTACGGAGAAGAGGGGGGTATGGACATCCGTACAACTAGCAGCGAAAGATGATGATATTATTTGATATTATGTATAGTATCTGTAGGAAGTGAGGTTTAAAATGATGTTATTACATGTGGTTCTAGAGGACTCAGACCAGCTAACTGATAGCATAACTATAGCGTATTCAATTTGGCAGGGCAGAGAAGTTCAAAGATCACTCATACGGGTCTACATTTACACAGTCTTCACAAGTAATAACCCACTAGCTCACCTTAAAACAGCAAAATTAGGAGAACTACGTGGGTACAGTTTTAGATAATTTTCAACCTTCCAAACGTGTTATGTAGAGTGCATGGAGTATACAAAATACATGGTATGTGTTTTGTGAATGTGAAATAAAATGTAGACAAATTAATATTGTATGAGCACGCAAGTATAAACATCAAGTTATGGATATATATTATACAACGTAACTTTCATGTAGCTCATCGGACATAGCAGGCCACAAGGTGCGTTCAGCTACCAAATCCATGAATGTTCCTACCAAGGCGCTTTACGCCTTTACTGGTCTCCATTCCGAGAGTGTCGAAACCATGAATGTTCTTGTTCAACCCCGTCGGCTTTTTCTTCACCACGACTGTCTCTTCGGCCTTGTCTTCCCGTTTACTACTAGTAGATGCTGTCCCAGTCTTGTCAAACGCAGCTGCACTTTGTGATGGTGCGTATTTCTGAAGCAATCTATTACGCAAAGCTTCCCTATCGAGCGCCTGGAACTTGGACGCCGACCTCCTCCTAGATGTGGGTCTGGGAGGTTGAGACCTCGCCGGCATTGGGCCTGCTTCACTGGTTACTTTATTCAGCACCCTGTCGTTGAAGGTTAGAGGGGGTAGTTTTTCCCTGGCTGCTGAGTTCTCTGGGTTACGTTTGCCTTTCGCGGCCGACTTAGAAGCGCCTTTCCTTGCGTCATTTCCTGGGGTTCGTCTGGCTGGCGTTCGTATTTCGTCAAGGCGAGTGTGTCTACCGTTAGTTTGACCCTTTCTTGTGGTAGTCTGCGGCTCTATTTCCCCACGATGTGTCCGGTCCGTACGTGCTAGGTGCTGTTTTCCTGTCGTTTGGGGAAATTTCGGTTGAGGGGAGGCAGGGGTGCGTCTACCTCTGTTTGCTGTCAGGGGTTTTGTCGTGCGTTGATCGGGCAAACGTTGCTTTTCTCGTGCAGAGTGCCTTGCACTGGCGTCGTCGCGATTGGTTTTCTCTTTCAAACGATCTCCGTCAGGTCTCATCTTACCGCGACGGTTGCTAGACTGAGTCTGAGGGGTATCCCGCGTGATAGAGGGGAGCTGGTGAGGCCTGCCATGCTGGTGAAGTTCACGCAAGGTCAGGCCATCGTCCTCAGTGACAGCCACTCCTTGGAGCCGTGAGTTGCCGCCAGTCCGTCCACGTCCACCCCTCTGATGACCGACGCTTCCTTTCGCTACAGCAGCCCCGGTGACAGTATGTCGGAGAGTAGGAGTCCTACCAAGGCCGTCCACTCGTGGAACACGGCTTGACACATCGTTCTGACTTATGACTGCGCGATTTTTGCGCCCACTGGTTTTGTCTTCTCCGTCTTGTCGAGTTTCATCGATGACTGAAGTTGGAATGACGTGTATTGCTTGAGGTGCTATTTTGCCTTTAGGGACGACTGGTCTAAGTTGCACATCGTTTGCTTTCAAGCTGGATTTGGCTTCAGAAGTACCTACTTTTTCTTCAGTGGTTTCAGATTTCCCTCCTGTGTTTGATCCATTACCGCGTGTTTCGGTATTTCCCGAAGCTGTTGGAGAAACTTTCGTGTTGTTGCCATTTACATTAAGACCGTCATTGTTGCTCTGCGCCTTCGCTCCAGCCGCAGCCAGGCCTGTTCCATTGCCACAGTTTCCCCCTGCCACTGGCCCTTCTATTGTTTTTGACATCTCCCCATTTTTGTGCGTTCCGTCATTAGAACTTCCCTTGTTAGTCCCGCTGTTGCTGGAGCTACCGGCACCCCCTCCGGCCCTGACGGTCGTCGCTCCTGTGCCTTTACCCGGCACGCGTAAGTCTAGCAGCGTGAAATCCAACATCGGTGCGTGGTTCACGGTGTCGCTCTCCTGGTTGAACCCTCCGACCTTCAGCAGGGCAAGCTCGACGCCGGCTCTTGCTTCCACTTTGTTTTCTGCTCCACTGACCCGGGCGTTCATCGCGGATACTTCCACGGCCTTCGCGCCCACGTAGACGCCGACGTCTTGCTCCTGCCGCACCCCTGCTGCGTCCACGTTCATCGCTTTCACCTCGATACCCTTTGCTTCAAACGTTGCGCCGGCCCTGTGTTCCATCTTGACTGCGGCAACGCTGGCGTTTCCAACCTTCACATCCGCGCCGCTGACCAGGGCCTCGGCCCCAACGAAGAGATGTTCGTCTACCGCCCTCGCGTCCACGTTTCCTGCAACAACTTCTGCCCCTTTGACGTCGGCCTTTGCTTGCACGTCGGTTTCTACGGTTCCGCCGTGAGCCTGTGCGGTTAAAACGGTACCTTCAAGCCCGGTGGCTGCGGCGGTAGCCTGGGGGGAGAACGTCAGGGAAGCCATGTCAACATCAGCCGTCAGCGCGGCCAAGTTAAGACCCGTGGCGAACGCTTTCGCCTGGTCGTCCACCTCGGTGGAAACAGAATCTTTCTCTGCACTTAGAACTCGCTTTCTGACGGCGTGTGCGCTGGTGTTACGCTTCCTGGATGTTTTCTTCTCTTCGCCATCATCGTCCTTTGTTGAGTGCCTAGTAGGGACGCCGTCTGTGTCCTGAGACACAGAAGAAATGTCTTTGCCAAAAGCTGGGTGTCTAAAACGCAGCAGTCTATTCTCCTCCCTTTGTTTGTCCTTTATCTCTTTTATCACCTCTTCTGCGAAGACGTTTGCACTCTCCTCTTCTGCCTCCTCTCCACGCAGCAGTTGCCCGTCTCGCCTTACAAACTGATAGTTCCCTTTCGAGTTTCCTTCCTTCGTTGGCGCCATGTTTTTTTTTTTGCTACACATGAAGTTTATTTGTTTGAATTGGTTAAATACTTGCAAACCCGACGTTCATGTATGGGGTAGCGCAACGGGTCGAAGGTGGTTGGAAGTTGGCACCGTTCCGTCCCGTATCAGCGGCAAGAGTTAGATCTATGAAGACAGGTAGCAGAGCTTCGTTCTTCTGTTGGTATGTTCCGGCACCAACCTAATGAAGGAACAAGTTACATAAGATATTTATGGCACTTTATAGGCAACGGGCATACTGTTTTCGTAATATAGCCGAGTTACTAGTAGTGCTCGGCACACGCATACCGATTATAAAAAAAATTAACATGTCTGGATTGTGATATTGTATGCAGTTGCTTTAGTGATCTGTACAGTTGCATGGTTGAATCGGAAACAATGATGCCGTAACTAGACAGATTCAGAGACATACAGACATATGCAAAGGTAAGTACACAAGTAGGTACAGTGTACAGTATGAATCCCACCTACCTTCCTCTTGACTTCTGGGGCTAGCAACAACACCTTCAGGTCGGTCTAGGTGTAGTCGTGTACACGATGTTCAAAGTAATCTTACTTCAAGACGATCTTCTGCACTTAAGGATAGTACAGTTCCTGGCGTCAACACAACTAGTCTTATTTTTACTTCCTCCTTGGCGCAGGTAACTACTTCAAGGTCCAATATGACCTTTGATATGACCATTGTTCAGCCAGCGCACGCACGTGATCCCAATGAAAAGGCAATCTCTGCAACGATTGGCTGAAGTTTCTTGGCATGAAACCAGAGAACTTGTTTTTTGTTTGAGTTTACGTCACATGGCTATAATAGTAACTGCCCTGTAGGTAGGTACTGTTATCGCTCTGGCTATGAATGGTGCTGGTAATCTATGCTTGTAAAAGGCTACTTATAACCAAGGACGGTGTACTAGTATCTATCTTGTAGAACGTCCTTATTATATCCAAATTACTACTAACGTAGCATATGTCATTTTTTATTATGATATTTATTAACACAATACACGGTTTCAATTCCCGAACTTTTGTGCCCTTACGTTTAATCACCATCAAGCGATCTGGACTAAATTTTACCACTTATATCGTTTGACTTATGCATGCACTTTATTTGATTGTTTGTGTCAACATTTAGTTATGGGTTACTGCATTTTTTCTGTACTTATCTCTATGTACTGGTGAAAAGTGTATAAAATCAACATGACATCTACACTGCTGCCATACAATTACATGTACCATACAAGTAGATGCCAAAAGTCACGTTACATTTACACGTGAGATTAGACTAAGGAAATACTGTAGCTTACGTTTCCATCATCATCATCATCAGTTCAGGTGGGTCACCCGAACTACCTCGAATCGTATTATTTATCTTTTTATTTTATTTTTTACAATTGCTTGTTATCTTTGTGATTGTTACTTTACGGTTTTCTAGATATTGTTTGTTTAATTTTTTGTTGGTTGTTCTATGATAGTATGAAAAAAACCCCAATAAAGACATACATATTATTTAATAGTACGGTATCCGTCTCACAATGACATGACTCATTTTTCTATAGTTGATCCAAAAAAAGTAAAAGAAAAAGAGAAAGTGAAAGTGCACATTATCCCGAGAATCGTCACGTGTTCGGAGAGTTGAGGAACGAGTCAGCATCTCTGAGGGCCTCCTGCATGTCCTCGTACCCAGAGTACCTACACGCCTCCTCCAACCCCAGCCACTCGTACTTCTGATGTTCGTCCGACAACACTACAGGTGTGTCGCTGTTCTTCAGCTCTGCCAGCCAATAGATCACCGTCTTGGGTTTCCCCCTCACGTTGTACTCCAAGACTTTCTTAAAGTTTTCCATGATGTTGATGTGTTCTGTCGAGATGCCGGCTTCCTCTTGTGTCTCCCTGAGAGCGGTTTGCAGGTCGGACTCGCCTGGATCCACGTGTCCTGGACAGCAGAAGGGTGATGGCGGTTAAACAAAGGGTTATTTTTCTGATATACATCTGGGTCTTTCGCCGCTAAGACGTTTCGCCGTCACCGGTACAATGGCATTGGAATTTGGATTATAAAGATCACGAATCACTGTTTGTAACGTTAGATAGCTTACGACCACTTTTGTTAGAACTGTGGTTTAGGTAAGGTTAGGGCAAGGATTTAGTCAATGAGATCATTTCAAACCTCCTTGGTTAGGGTCAAAACGTCCTGACGGCTAAACGTACATGAATAATCTACGCCTACTTCGTACATGTAGAGTTTGAAACTGTGCGTTGTTACTGGTAACACATGTGATGTAGTAGACTTTGGTCACTGATGGAATATCGCTGTTCTGTGGAACTCAGGAGGAAACGAATGAAAGACAACAACTTCTGACCTTTCGGCGGTGTCCAGTGGTGATGTCCATACGACGTCTGAAGCAGAAGATACTGGATCTGTGGAACACGGCGGAATATTATGAGACCAGCGGCACGAAGACCTTTCGATGAGGCCATGTTGCATAGTGGGTTCTACCACTACGTTTTTTGGGAGTGTTGTACTGGATGAAATGCTACATTTGGGATTGGTATACTTAGAATCAAATCTACACAGCATTTTGATATTATAAGAAACTTTGGATAACTTAGTTCTATCAAAACTATCTAAAACGTTTTGATTTAGATGATCTTTAACGTTTATGTCAAACCCCTACTATTTCAATGAAATATGCCAAATGGAATGTTTGATTTTCTACATTACCAGGGGGTGTAGTTTGGCGAATACTTGGATAATTGGATTAAACATCAAATTCGCTACAACAAATCATGATTGTAAAACATGCACTTAATTGTATATGTACTTTAATTAAAATTTTATTTAATTGAATAGAGTAGAGCGTAGATTTCTTCCTTTTATTCATCAAGAATAATATGCTGCCTCCTATCAGTTAGAAGTGGACTCTTCTTTTTAGGCGCCTTTTCTAAAATCAAAGATGGCGGGCATTCATCATGTTTTTGTAGTTCGTTGAGGGGCTTTGTCGGATTTGAAGGTTTTATTGTGTTTGTTTTGTCCAGGTTGGGGCTCTAACTTGGCGTCTGGGACGCTAATCACCTAACAAGAACCTGTAGAGATCCATGAGAGGTAAGTCGTCCAACTTCCCATGTTTGGTGTCGACCGTTTTGACCGGTAAAAACAACCGGAACGTTTGAAATATTTTGGGGGATCGAATCCGTGCAAAATATTTTGCGCGGAATTATGTTGTCCCAAAAAGTGTAACACACAAGTGGAGCAACTTTGAAATATAACTGTTATGGGTTTTTGCAATTGTTCAGAATATACAATGCATTTTTTCAGCAAATGCATTTACAAATATGAATAAAGTAATTTATAAACCAACATTCCAGCTTCTCGAGGATTTCTAAATACACATGTACGATGTCCAGGTTATAACAGATACTATATATGGAAACTTGCAGTCTAGTAATAGAAATAGCCATTTTCTAGTGTCTAAAAATATGTATAAGTCACTGGAACAAATTTATTGTTTTGGACACCCCCTTTAATAGATCTAGTCCCAGGACGTTTACTAAAAGTTATGTTTTTGAGCTTTGAAACATTTGACAAAAATATCTTTAAATGTTAAATATCGGTTATGACTAGAATAAACAGTCCCGTACATTTTATGATTTCTCCATGTTGAACCGTGTACTGCCACACCCACACTTCTGTACATTTGGCGTGAGAACCAGCAGATATGCCGTCTGTTCTCCCCTGGGGATTGCTGAGTATTTCCCTTACCCTTTGGTATGGTGTAATTGTCATCAATATTTAATGCCCAAGTGACCTGTGAATGGACAAAACCCAGTGCAGTAATACCATGGTAAATATCACATATTGCAGAATACTGACAAAAATGAAAGACAATGACAAATTTAGATGATTTGAAAATGAAGGTTTAAAAACTGCCTGTCCAGATGCCTAATTTTGCATTGGGTTGGAATACAAATAATTTTAGACGTTAGACTTAACAGCACTGAGCAATTAACAAAGTAGAATTTTTAGTCTTAGTCAATGTAGCAGTCTTGAGGCACAATCTTCTGTCAACGAAATTGCAATTATATAGAACAGCTTCGCGTTTAACAATAACAATTCAAATTTCAGATCATGGCGAACTGTTTGTACGAGTGTCTCCGTGAGGCCAGACTGGAGAGGTACTACCCAAACTTCGAGTCTCAGGGCCTGACCATGTCAGAGGGGCTCAGTGAGCTCACCATGCAGGACTACTCAAAGTGAGGGTTTGTTGTAGTTCACACAGATCATTATCCTATTCATGTACTTGTGAAAACATGTACTAGTACAGTAATGTGACAGACACTTTAGATTACTCTTAGTATCACAATGCATTGGACAGGATTCAGCAGTGAAATATACATGTACAGAGTAGGGGATATTGATAAAACATCATGTTACTAGATATACAATAACATTGTACAATTACTAGAAAATATATCTGATCAACATACCCACTTACCTACCATTATGGCTGATGGATATTCAATTCATATTTGTTATGACATCAACAAAAACTTGAAAAAAAAGCTTCTATAAATTAAATTAGTATAATGGTGATAATTATCGATTGATTTACGGCATGCATTTGTATGTTTCCCTGCTGTACCTGTAGGTTTGGTGTGGAGGACATGCACGACAGGAAGCGACTGTTCCAGCTCATCCAGGTCATCAAGATGGTTCAGGACGAGGGAAAACGTTGCAACATGTCCTGCAGCAAACCCACTCCCCCCAGCAGCCCCGAGAAACCAACAACAGCCTCCGCAACAATAACAAGTACCCCCGGCCGCGCTGACAACGTGACGTCCTCCAGCAGCGCCTACTTTGGCGACGCGTCGGAAAACCTGAACAACTCCACCGTGCTGGCGTGGCAGAACTACCACTCCGCCCTGCAGAGCAGGACTTCTGCCGCGAACCAGAGCAGGTTCTTCACGGAACAGAACGAGGCTCTCGGTCTCAACGACAGCAGGAACTTTGTCGTCAACAGGAGCAACAACGACAACGTTTCTCCGTCCGAGAACAAGGAAAACGTTGACGGCAACGAGAGGGACGCCACGCCTGCCGCAGAGTCCATGCCCACGTTCACCCCTCCCCGCCCCAGACAGCCGTACCTGGAGAAGGTGCAGCACGACTCGGGTTACGACTACGGCGTCCCGGCGCAGGCCCAGGTCAGGAGCCCAAAGCGGAGCCTCTCGTACGGCAGCGAGGACGGGGGCGAGAGGATCAGGGTGTGCGTGAGGAAGAGGCCGATGAACAAGCGGGAGAAGAAGGCGGGACAGGCGGACATCGTGCAGGTGCAGGGGAAGAAGACGGTGCTGGTGAACGAGGCAAAGGTCGCTGTGGATCTAACCAAGTACACACAACAGGTACTGTAGACTGCGTTTCTCGATCATAGAAGATGACACACATTTGCACATGTACCTAACCCCTGCAGTTTAAACTGCCCAAGAAGACCGCTCAGAGGACAGGTAGTGGTATACATTGACTGTGGGCGAATGCCATGGTCACCATATACATTGTATGTAGATTCTTAATACTGTGTCAATGGGAAAAATTATCACGAAAGCATAAGTCCCTTGTACAGGTTTGACTGTATTATTGTAAGTCTTGTTGCACTTGTAATGATAACTTTGTAAAAATAGGAGGTAGTAAAAAATACCGATGTTTTTATATAGATTAATTACAATTCACAACATTATATTTAAATAATCATTTTATCTGCGACAATCATCATGCAGTTTCACATAGATGGTTGTCCTATTGCTATATTGGATTAACATTTTTTATTGTTTTTTTCTAGCATGAGTTTATTTTTGACGAGGCTTTTGGTGAGGAATGCAGCAATGAAGAAGTGCACCAAAGGACTGCCAAGCCCTTGGTGTCCTGGGCTCTCAGAGGGTAGGCCAACCTCAGAAACTTAATAAATGTACATTTGTACATGTTGCTTGAGTGTTGGTTATATCTGCTTTAGCCTGTGGAACCCAAGCTCCGGGGGGCTCCCTACGTAGTCCTACATAATGGCGGACTACTAGGGAGCCGGCGAAAAGCGAGGTTCAGTCAGGCTATATCTGTTTCTGTTCTACTAACTTCTAGTCCCCTTTATAATTTTATGGACAGTAAAGTCCTGGTTCCATGTTGGGATGAGTATCAGGTTACCACCAGCTGTTCTCAAGTGGGAGGCCTGCATGCCCCTTTACTGTAAGGACCGCCCCACACCAAAAACAGGCATATACTATTACACACTAGTGTTTTTCATATACAAGTGTCAGAAAAAAATAATAAAACCTTTGATGTGTAATTGTAAAATTTACTGGTAGCTTTAGAATTTCAAGCTATGAAGAGTGGCAGTAACGTTTGTACTAGACTAGACACAAATTATTTTATGTTGTGAACCATTTTTTTTTCTTTTCGTGTGCACGAAAATTTTTTAGGCTAGGTGTAAATGTGAACCTATCTGAAATGAACTTAGACTTGCCTTAGATAATAATAAATTAATAATTATAATATATTGGTAATTTCCAATGTCCATGCCTAATTCTGGATACTTATACCATTATACCATTATACTCGCACCATTAATCTGCAGGAACAAGTCGACCTGTTTTGCGTATGGGCAGACAGGAGCGGGTAAGACGCACACCATGATGGGGAAGCGGGGAGTGAAGGGGCTGTACCTGCTGGCCGCTCAGGACCTGTTTGAACAGCTGAAGTCTGGGGAGCACGGGATAGCAGGACAGCAGGTCTGTTTTTTGTATTTCTTAAACCTCCAATGGTCTCTCACTATGGCCTTTTTTCATTGATTAGAATTTACATTTCATAATACACATAATAACACTTGAAAAATAATTGTCCAATTATTACATTAGACTTATAAGAAAATCTTCATTTTCAAACAATATTACAATTTTTCTTTAGTCTGTTTCTTGGTAACTCTTTTTTTGAATGCTTAAGCCCCGGTCCTTGGCTAAGCAGCTGAGCTGTCACCTCACATGATGCTGGCATACAGCACTGTGTAAGACCAGACTGCAAGGCTTTACAATGTAGGTCCCACCTATATTAGGGCGGTCCTGACCGAATCTACATGTAGGTACTACTCATTTTCACAAATTCGAGTCAGGAAAGAGGTGTCAAGTTCCTTTCCCAATTATAAGGGCACAACACCAGCCAGGGATTCGAACCCTGAACCTTTAGGTTGTATTAGTCAACAACCCTAACCACAAGACCACTTTGCTTGCCACCCAGGTCTACATCAGCTTCTATGAGATCTACTGTGGACAGCTGTTTGATCTGCTACATGGGAGGAAAAGGTGAGAATAACGGTAGTGGGCAGCACTGGCGATCTGTCAGCTAACCTTTTTAAGGAGTACTTTTTGAGTTGGCTAGGCTTTCCATCAAGTTGTAACTTGTCCATGTTAACATGAGATTGTGAATTTGTGAGTGCTTATTGTTTTATAATCTATATAGATTTTTTTAAACTTCAATGAAATAAAAAAAAAATCTACAATCTACAAAAAAATACTCAATGACATACAGAATTTTTACATGATGTCGCTTGTGCAATGTTGGATCACAGTGTAAGGCTGTAATTATTATGTCAATGAAAAACCTGTATATTTAGGACTGATGTTCATCCTTTCCTGCAGACTGTATGCCCGTGAGAATGCCAGCCATCGTGTGTGTATCTCAGGTCTGCTGGAGATCCCCATCACTAATGTGTCTGAGCTCATGGAGGTGAGGCAAAAATAAAGAACTTCCACACACAGCAATCATCAAGGTTTTGTGTTGTACATACTTCAATTACTTGAAAGCACTGAGTTTGTTAAGTCATACTGCTGGGACTTCATTTCTTCTTAACTGTCTAAGAAATTATAATCATTGCACTATTATCGTTTCTAAACTGTTGAAGAATTATATTCATGTAATACTATACAATAAGAGTCGTGTTCTTTATGTAACTTGGTGGCCTTGGTGTGGAAGTATTGTTTTGGGTGGCTGAACCGTGTGTCTGTCTGTCGAGACTGATCTAGAGTAGGTTGCAATTTGATAGCACTTGGGTGAGGGAAGATTGATTGACAGAGTGACAGGAGGTCAAAAGGCAAGACACAGGAAATGGAGTGAAATTGAAGGTCACAAATCCCCCTCAAAAAAACTTCCCATAGGTCAGAAATCTCTGAATTCCTATCTTTTGTTGGACAGATCTTTGACTTTGGCTTCATTAGGATCCACATTTAGCATACAAAACAGTAGCTTTTCTTCCTTTGGCCTATTCTAACACATATACCACACACGGGGAATATACAAAACATAAATACATTGGCAACAATAGCGAAATACTAACACACAACTTAACATCAGGCTATCTGTTGTTTGACAGATCATTGCGTACGGGAACACCGTCCGGAGAAGCGGGAGCACTAAGGTGAACCTGGACTCCTCCCGATCACACGCCGTGCTGCAGATCCAGCTGAAGGACAGCAGAGAGAGGGACAGGGGCAGGTATGGCAGTAAAGTTGCATAGTACACACCAGTTTTATTTCTTGGTTCATCATAGTCCTCTTTATTCTGGCACATGTTCTTGTTCTTGTTAGGGGAGTATGGGACAGCAGGGGTTTTTTTTGTATCTTTGAATGCTTCATTGTACCTTTCCCTAGGCACAACACTTAGTCCTGCTAGGGATTCAAACCCTGAACCTTTAGATTCTAAGTCAGCAGATGTGCCCTTGGGAAAGGCACTTAACACATATTTCCCCCCTCAGTTGGAGGGATCCTGGGCCCTACTAGGGTTTGGTTTGATGTTAGGAAGGGCATCCAGCTGTAATAAAAATCTTGCTTAAACTAGAAAGGCCGACATTTGCTTTGGAGCAAATACAGCAATGGCTTCACCACATTTTACGACATGGCAGGGAAAGAATGAGAAACACAAGGGAAAACAATGCTTCACATTGATATAACTATAGTATGAAGTAACATACAACTAAGACTACAACAGTTGGATAGCTATTCCCTACATTATTGGTTAGGATTTTTAATTGCATAATGCAAACTGTTGATTTTCAAGAAAAAAAGAAGTGTTCATGCCCCGCATTCCAATGCTGGAGCAGGAAAGCTTGAAATACCTACCAAAACACTTGAATACAGACATACTGTCAGTATGGAATGGATCTGAGCAGGTATTAATTAAGTTAAGCCTGTTAAATTCCAACAGCCAATCAGCAAGGAGAATAGAGGAAAGCTGCATGCCTATTGGTTGATGCCCTGCATTCCATTGTGATGACTCATGCCCAAATGTGGTAACACTGCACACTAACTCAGTAATACATTTGCTATAACACAGCCAAAAAACTCAAATAAAACCATTCTAAAAGCCTGTATCACAAAAATTTAAAAAACGCCTAGGGGTATTTGCCCACTGTACCTCCATACCAAATTTCAGGACCTTAGGCCCTAAAATGAAGAAGCTGAATCCATTTAAAAAATGGCAGGAGAAGAAGGAGAAGGAGGAGAAGGAGGAGAAGAAACATCAGAAAAAGCAATATGGGTTCACCACCACTTCGTGGTGTGGTGAACCCATAAAAAAAAAAAAGACATTAAACTGGATAGAGAGAGAGAGAGAGAGAGAGTCCTATAACTTGTTAGTCAAGAGCTGTTTGCTTGCTACCCAGGTCTACAGTAATGTGTACAGTATGTTACAGAATGAGTTAACTTGTGTGATCTGTGATGCAGTGCTCACGTTGTATATGTCCATGCTGCAGGATCTCCTTTATCGATCTGGCTGGAAGTGAGCGTCTTTGCGAAGCCAACTTCCTGGCCAGTAAACAGAACCGACACGAGGGGGCTGAAATCAACCAGAGCCTGCTCGCTGTAAGTCCAGTTTAATCTCCTCCCTGCTGTCTTAACCTGTAGACAATAGAGAACTGGTAGCAAAACAGCTACTTCAATGTACTACTACTAGAGGTTAAAAGTGATAAGAATGACCCAGCTTCTAGTGTGTAAGTTAACCTTCTCCCTGCTGCCTCACCCCGTACACATTAGAGAACTGGTAACCAAACAGCTACTTCAATGTACTAGAGGTTAAAAGCAACAAGGAAGACCCAGTTTCTGCTGTATTAACCTTCTTCCTGCTGTTTAATCTTGAATGTAATCAATTTGTGCCTAAAGCCACTAATCTCAGCAGGGATAAAATGTTTTGGTGTTTTTGTAAAAATTGTCAGTGTGCTACATGTACATGTATATTCAGCTTGCCATAGTGCATACAAGTACAATGTAGCCCTCATGAAGTGCAGGTACAATGTACTTGACCTAACCTTTCGCCACACTTTCCCATTCACAGTTGAAAGAGTGCATCCGAGCTCTGGACCAGGAACAGCAGCACACACCCTTCAGACAGAGCAAGCTTACTCAGGTAAGTCTCTCCTAAGTCTGGGTACTCTCTACATGTCAAGTAGCTACAGTAGTTGGGATTTGATCTTGAAGTGGAAGGGGAAATTAAGAGATTTTTGCAGTGTTCTAAGTTTGCAGTTGAAACAGCTCTGTAGTACAGTGGAACAAATGAATTAATTGTAGCCTAAAGAACTAGAACTAAAAAAAAAAAACTGGAACTAATAAATTGTAGCTTGAGTGCCATCCTAGTTTATTTACCATTTGCCTCCTCACAACCTAGTTTGAATTGAAAATGGTGACTGGTTCTAACATTGTTCCCATGTTAACAGGTGTTGAAGGACTCCTTCATAGGAAACTCTCGGACCTGTATGATTGCCAACATCTCACCTGGTAACGTTGCAGCAGACAACACTCTCAACACACTCAGATATGCAGACAGGTAAAACTGGTGTTCTTCATCTTCTGATAAAGTTTACATGTAAACTGTAATTAACAACACAAGAAATTAGACTTACCCAAATTTTTTATTGACAACTTTGTCAAGGAATAGCCAATCCACCGCATAGAATCAAATGCTTTGCTAAAAACTTCTCCTCAGTCTCAAGGTAAGTTCTCACTCAAATTAAGTGAAAAATATTGAAGCCTAATCAACTGCTGTATATAATATGTTTAAGTTAACTGCATGCCAATCACTGAGCTCCATGTAGTCTTATTTAACAGGTTACTCTTGAACAGCCTACTTTATTTTATCCTACTTACGCAGAAGTACAAAATTTATATGTATCATGTAATCACAAATAGACCACTACTTAACTACGTACATCGAAAGTTGGTCACTCAAAGACATCCTATCAGTAGAGTTTGCCAAACCTTAAATCTGTTGTATTGCAGGGTGAAAGAATTGAGGAAGGACAGTCCCTCCCACCCGAGGCAGACGGCAGGAGGGAGCCCCATGAGGACCAGGACTCCGGGGTCGCCACGGTTACCTGGTTCCCCCGGCAACAGGGGAACATCGTCCGCTAAACAGCCGAGAAGGTTGACGGGGTCGGGGTCCCAGGACAGGAGGGCCACCCCGTGTGTGTTCCACCCGTCCAACGTTCCCCTGTCCTCCACCCCGAAGGGCAAGGACAGCCCGAGGCATGCTGGGACGGGGTCAAGGGTCAACAGCGTGATGCGGGCGGAGTACGGGCTGTACAGCACGACGCCCGTGAAGGGGTTCGTCAAGCCGGACAGCGGGAAGAGGAAGAGGGGAGCTCGAAGGATCCTGGCTGGCGCCAGGTTCGTTTATGTTTATTGGGATCTCCATCAGGAAAAATGAACAACACGTGACAAGAGAACTGCAAGATCTGAATCAGGTTGATGAAGAGACAGAGTACGTCTCGAAAGCTCCCCAGCATAGCTGAACTTTCGTTGTGTATTTAAATATAAATATTTTGTCAAAAGTATGAACAACAGTTCCTTACTATATATATTCTTCCTGGAGTCCTTAACACATTAAAATAACAACCTAATAACTATCATATACAATTCCACCGTCATAATTAGTAAGTACAATATTCACAACATTACAAAATAACAATTACATAATATTACTTAATAACTACAATATGTACACCACTAGTAACAATCTCATTTCTACCAGGTCCGAGTCGGAAGCGTCTCCAGCTAACCAGTCGCAGAGCTCGCCGCTAGACAGACAGGGAGGCTCGGAGGGGAGGGCAAACAAACAGGCCGCTGCGCACTTCTCCCCTTTGAAGCCAGGAGTCCACCTGGTGAGAGATGCGTGGGTGGGGAGCGGCGGGGCTTGGGAGGCGGTGAGAGAGCCAGCGGTCGCAGCACAGGTGGCGGAACAGCCTGCCGTGTGGGAGGAGGTGGGGGAGGCTGGGTCTGACACGGACGGGCCGGGGGAGGGGACAGATGCAGACAGGTGCGACATTTATTTATTTCTATTATAAGGCCACGCCAATTTAATTTGTTATTTCTTGGATTCGCCCTCTCCATTTTTTCTGATTTGCAAAAAAAAATTTTTAGGTTCTAAAATCAACTGCAAAATGCAAGACATATTTTGGCTTGAACAGTTGAAGAAAGTCCTCTTCTTCCTAGTTGTTAAAAGTTTTTCAATGGAACAATGGAACAACGGAATGGACCCGTCTACTATGGTCACGTGTATCTGACGTCACGTTCCAAGAGTAGACTGGTCCATTCCGTGAACAAGGTTGATGGCGTCAACCGAAAATTTGGGGTAAGTCCCAATTCTGTAATCTAAGTGTTGGAAGTTAAAGCTTAGTCTTTATTTCATAAACATGAACAGGGAGTACCCGGAGGGATGCAGCGACAGCAGCCGCGACACCCTGCCCAACTCCACGCAGACGTCTGACCTGGACAGCGGACAGGAGATGGTGTCGCACCTGGACTCCGTCCTGGGCCTGAACCACACCGCGTCCAGGTCCGCGACCAGCCCCGCAGCGATCGGACCGCCAGCCTTCAAGAAGACGAAGGTGATACAGACGGAGAAAAGGCCCAGCAAGCGCTCCTCTTACTTCCCACCTCTGAGGGACGAGGACGAGGAAGAGGACTCCACAACAAACAGTGACAACAGCGAGCATGTACATGATGTACAGGCAGCTAACAAAGGACCACCAAGTAACAAACAAGCAGCTGAAGACGGCGTCCGTCCCCAAGATATAGCAAACTCACATGTAGAAACAGGCGACCAAAATGGTGCTAGTTCAAGTGCCTCGCAAAGAACCCCATCAGCAAATACAAAGGGACCAAGTGCTCTAGCTACAAACATGACCACAGCAAATGCGTCAAAGGCTACACCATCAGGTATGATGAACACTCCCGTGTCAGCAGCAAAGATGACCGGCAGCAAATCTCCCACCAAGACTCCCGCCAGCGCTGTTGTGAAGGAGATCATGAGCCTTCCGTCTCCCCGGGACTTCCTGGGCTCCTCGAGGGAACCCAAGAACTGGACCATCTTCAGCGACGAGGAGGCCACACCTGCTAGGGGGAAACAAGAAGACGCTGGGGAAAGTCTCCGGCGATCGCTAAGTGCCCCGGAGCTTAACGAGTGCATACAAAATGAGGATAAAACAAACCAGGACGCCGCCGACTCTCCCATGCAGGCAGGATCTGATGCTGATGTAACGGAAGGAAACATTGAAGATACTCGAGGGAAAAACGAACTAGAGACAAGCAAACCTGTGTCTACAGCAAAGCTCCCGGCAACAGGCAGCACATCAACTGTGGCTACTTCAGATCCTACCACAGACCACCAACTGACAAACGCTGGTGTTCCTACCCTTGCTGCTGACACCAGAGGTACACCTGACAGGAATGGTGTCACAGTGTCCACATCAGCATCTTCTGTCCGTTTGGCTGCTGTTTTCAGCTCACCGGCTACAGAGGACACGTTGCCAGCTCAAGGAGAGGGCACTCCACCGGTCCCAACCAGCGGAGGTGAGCAAAGCCCTGCCAGGAGAAGAGAGGATCACCTACAGAAGGCAAGGTAAGAATGTTTCGTATACATGTATATAAGTTTTTTCTGGCTGCTGCTGCTGAATAACACGTTGAGTAACTGATGGTGTGTTAATGTTTGTGTCTTGACATCACATGTACATGTTTGCTTTTTGTCACTGAGACCACCTGCAACTAACATAAATGCACTAATTATATATATAAGTCTTTTTTGTACCTATACTTTGTACGTAGTTTGTTGGCTGACAGATACGTTGTAAACCTTATCACCTTAAGATATTTTCCAAACTTGGTTATCGCCTCGGCAGATGTTTTGCTTCATCTCCAGTATCATATATGCCTACTGTTATCCCTGGTTGCAGGTCCCTGTTCCTGGAGGCCCACCGAGACCAGCTGAAGGACATGAGGAAGTGGTGTGAGGAGGAAGAGGCTCTGTCTTCTGTGGCACAACAGGTGAGGTTTTAGTGCTTGCCCCTGATGTGTGAAATACATGTACCTTCCATCGGATATGTGATCAGATTTGTTACTGCATCCAAGTTGGTGTGCTAGCCAATATCCGTCTTTCCATCATTTACAGAATTTTGATGCACATGATGACAGGAATTTTGCCCAATCTGTACTCTTTGATGGACAAATATAGTGTTCAAAGTGTTGGAGTGTTACGCAGAGGGGTGGTTATACTGGCTATACAGATATTAGATACAGAAATACATGTATACATTGAGGTCTTAGCCTTACCGGTAGCATTAGCAAGAATTGAGAACCTGGTGGCAATGCACAAAATTAAAGCCCAAAAGAGTGAATTTTTGTTGACTCCTTTTTTTTTTTCTTCTCCACACAGGACTTTGACAGTTATGTGTGCAGACTGGACTCCATCCTGTCCAGGAAGTTGGAGGACATAGTTTCACTCAGGGCTCGACTACAGAACTACAAACAAGACCGGCCACTAGTGTAACATATACACAAGAACTAAGTATGTAGAGCTAGGTAGCCTTTTTGCAGCAAATATCTTAATACTGTGTTTGAAAAATGATGTTGAAGCTCTTGCACTTTGGCATTTATTTTGTCACAAACTTCACCAGAAGTTACAGAATCCAAGACACTAGTGGCATGCAGAGGTGATGTGTATGTGTTTTTCTTGTATGTGGACATTGAGAAATGAGAGAGGGGTGCACAAATGTGTTGGTCTAAAGACCTGAGACTTGGCATTGCAGGTAATACATAATTATGTAGGAATGAGCTGCATTGACAATAACTGCAATATGCATTTACATGTAGATAATGATAGCAGTTTGTACTTTTCTGTTGTGTCTGTGTAAAATCTTTCACTGTGAAGCACTACCCTGTACATTTACTTTGTTTATAAGATGTGTATTTAGATGCTCAACTTTCATCAAATGCTCTACTTCTGAATGAAAGACTTAGTTAGTGTTTTAACTGTACATTGTACATGACATCTGAAATATTCAGAAATTCTAGTGTGTTGTTATGTTAATGTTTGTGAAATGTGCTGCATGTCTCAAAGTTTTATGGCATCTGTCCCAGCCAGTGTTCTGTTGGGTTTTATAATAGTTTTTTAATGGATCTTAACTCTGGGAATTAGGATTGTATGACATTTATGTATGCCATACATGTAGGTACCAAGCAATTTTGAAGTAGCCTGGGTACCATCCGAATTTTCGCTACCCAACGCTTGAAGAAATCAGCGTTGCGTAGCAAAAATCCGGATGGTACCCAGGCTAATTTTGAAGTGGAAATCTTTGTTTAGAAAATGGAGTACCTGTTAGATTGACAAACGAATTCATTGCTGCCAATGTGTGCATTACTTTTCTTCTAACCCTAATACATGTAGGCCTTATATACATGTATGTAACAGCAAGACTTTTGTATCTTCTCATTTACATTTTGGATGTGTGCAAGCTAAGGTCAGTGCTAATAGCACAGCGTACATGGAACTGTTGATAAAACACTTTTTATGAAATTCAGTTGTCAATTTTATTGAGTGAAACATCATCTTCTTGCAGTTGATTTATGAACAGCAAGATGTTGACTGGGGCTGGCACTCTAAGTGTGAAAATATGTCATACATGTACATGTATCTGTTCATTCAAAAGAATGTTGAATGTACAATGTAGCAGTTTTAACGTCAATTTTGCACCAAAGTTGAAAAAGAAAATGAAATCAACACAAGGAAACTCAACACTTTAGATAAAAATTATTTCTTTTATTGTCCTCATATGCACATATTACATGTATATAACATGAACTCAGGGTACATGTACTGCCCAATAGTTAAACATTCTGCAAAGTTCCTGAAGTAAATGAAATTAGTACCCAAAAACTAAAGCTCATCTGCAGAATTATTCTTTTCACTTTGAGGTGAACTACAATATTGTCGATGCAAATGGTAATGCACTAGAAATTAGGATCTGGCTGGCAACTTAAAACGTACATCTGCCATTGGGCACATGTATGTTTCCACTATGGGGGGCAGTAATTACAAAGTAAAGGCCTCTTGGTCTTGTACAACTTCATCACATCTGCCAAATGATGCACTTTTCTTACCTCAGTTCCCTGCCATGCCAACAAGCCCTAACCATGTTGTTTGTCCATGACACGGACAATTATGATTCAATGTAAGAACAGTATCTCGAAGAGAATTGAGAAAAAAAATCCTCAGTGTATTTTCGCAAAGGTACAACCTCTGCAAGTGCCAAACTGAAGGAATGTGGCTGACTTGAAAAGTTTTTTTTTTCTAGACCTGAAAAACCAATGCAGAAACCAATATTAAAACTAGTTTTTAATGACAAAAATTTGCTCAGCTTTTGGGTGCAAATCAATTTCTTCATGATCTCATCAAATACATTTGCATTACAACTCAATTCCAGTAGTTCTTCCTAGTCCATGTAATAGATAAACGTGATACTTGTTTTCTGCACAAACCCTTGCACCCGTTAGCAACGTTAGACCAGACCTGGCCTCCGGGATAGTAAAATTACACAAATACGTTATGTACCATTAATATACATAGCATAGGTCTGTACAGGGGTTTACTCATTGTGATAAGAAAATTTACAAAACTCCCCACATTCTTCCTCATCAAGCAGCAGGTTTTCAGGACCTTCCCTGACAATTGTTAACAGCACAGTGTAGTGTCCACTCATCACTAGTACATTTTGTACATTGTAGTTTTACTGTAAATCTGGAAAGTTCTGCAGTGGTTTTCTTTTCAGTGTGAGTTCTACACCGCAAATTTATGACACAGCAAATATGCATTTCCAATTGTATTACCCTACTGTACTATAGAATTGTTTCAAGTGCGAAATTAAAACCCCGAGAAACTTTTTTCTTTCCAACCCCAATAAAACCACTGCAAAACTAAGTAGATTCACAGTACATTTTATGCATTTAATGTGAGTTTCTGACTTCTACAACATGATATGACAAGAATCATGTTTACTACAAAATAAACCCAGACTTCAGTGAATCATGAACTGTGCAGAACAAGTGTGTTGTTAGATCTTTACATATTTTTTACAACTATACATGTATGTAGATAGGTACATGTACATGCACTTGAAAACATTTGATATACCAAAAATCCATATTCAGTAACAAGTCTACAACCTTTTGGCCACAAATAGGACAGTGTTATTAAAACCTGACTTCTCCATTCTCAAAAAAAAAAAAAATTACCTAAAAAATTCATTAACGTCGATCACCAAAATGCTGACTATGCTGACAAACTACCTCTACAACTGAGGCATTCATGTTTTCTAGTCTCAACCTGGGGCAGACTTTTTATTTACTGACCAAATCAACTAAAATATTCCACCACCTGCAGCCTTTCACCTGAATGAGTCCCAACATCATTTATTTTAGATAGTCCATTTGTACTTCTGCACAATTTACCACACAAAGTGTTAATGAAACTTTAAAAAACGTCTGTGACAGGAATTTCAAACCTCTGGAAAAGCTTGTGGCAAAAAAAGTTGCCTAAATATATTGCATTTTTGCTGTGCTTATGATGCTGTGTAGACAGTTTGTTACCAGATATTTGAATACATTTTGCCTTGTGTCTAAAAATTTGGAGCTTTGACATCAGCAGTCAGAGAGGATAGACTGTAGACACAGGCAGAGCATAGTATGGCATGTACAATAGTGTACCAATGGTACTAAGGGACACAGGATACATCATGTTGATGAATGTTAGACGTCCCTAGAACATATCGTAATGCAAAATAAGTCTAGCAACTGGATAAATTCTGGAAAGACTCAGACATTTCAGATAGCGTCCATTATTGGTGACTGAGAAACATAGTGGGCATGGCAGAGAAAGATTTCTCTGTCGCTTCTGTATAGCCGGTATAGCTGCTCATCAGTGTAACACACCATCTTTGCAGGCATGTGGTGCTGATGAGTGATAGTGGATGCTATCTGAAAAGTCCAACCATTCAGAGAATCTAGTTGCTTGATTCTTTTGTATCATGTAGGATATAGCTGGCTGGACACATTTGGCAATTTGCATGGTCATTAAGCAATCAGACTTGTAACCAGAACAAAAGTATCCACAGGCCTAGGCCAGCACATCAGCAGAATGTACTGCACCTGCACGTAAACCCTGCCTTTTCACCGTTTTGGTCGGGTGTTTGGCCAATGTTGCATCAGAATTTTTCCTCTTGCAGATGACATCTTTTCCGATGTGGAAATATTTGGAAACTACAGTCGGTATGTCAACCGTATATACTCGAACACGACCTTACATCATGTATATGACTCGTCCTGCCGAAGTGCTACGCACAATACATTACGGGTTTCACGCGGGTGCAATACAATCTGCCGACGTGCTGCCTATAGGCCACGACTGATCCTGTGTGAGATTTGGGGCTCTCCAGGGGTTTACGGTACAGCAGTGCTCACGTCATGAGCATGTCTAGAGCCTTGTGTTCGTCGTTACTGCTGACTATCAGAGCCTCCTTGATCTTGTCCTGTGGGAATCCCATCTCCTCAAACTTCAGCAGCAGCGACAGGTAGCTGCCAACCTGTGAAGGCAGTAGGACTCATTAACAACAGACTCATCATTTATTTTTGCCTGTGTTACACAATCCATCTGGGCTGCTTGGGCCTCCTACCCAAAAGCATGTGACCATACACTTGTAACTTTTCCTAAACTAGCAATAGGAACTCATGGTCTTTTATCAATGCTTAACAGGATATGTGTGTGTGAGTATGTGTAGATCAGTTCAAATAGGACCTTACAATTATCTGTCACAATCAAAACTTGGCATCAAAGGCTCCAGTATGGAAGTACATGTAATGCTTTGAAGGTGTCAGGATTTGGCTGGTAGCCAGCAGGGATTGGCAGTCAGAATTCCGCTCTCAGTGAATTGGAACTACTTTTCAGAGAAGCTCCAAGTACATACATACAGACGATACAACAATATACAGTATACAAGGGCAAGAGTAATTGTGTTATGTACATCAAAGGCCAAAATCATCATCAGTACATGTACCTCTGCCTCTGAGCCACTGTGGAAGTCTAGAGCTTCTTCTACTCTGGACTCGGGAAAACCACGTTGACACAGTCTGTCCAGCAAACACAGTCTGTCTATGACCTGGGAAAATAATAGAGCTTAGTGTCATGTATGAGCTTACAGCAGCATTAAGACCACAAACAATGCTATTTTTTATTTGAGAGCATTCATTGGTATAAAGAGTGACTTTTAAAATGCTAAGTTGTGGCTCTCGGTTTATTTTCCAGGCTCTATTTTCAGAAAATTACTGATCACATTTGATATTTCAGTGGTCATCTGTCACCTTCTTCAGGGCAACAATGACAAATGTAGTTCTGAAAGTCAGTCACCAAAACGTTGCATATAGAAACCCACTGGTTATTCAATAAATAGCCTGGGTGCCATCCAATTTATATACCTGGGTTCCCGGTATACAGATAGGATGGCACCCAGGTTAACTCAGAAGATTGTTACCTTCTTGTCATCCTGTCCGAATGTCTGCACAGCCCAGGCCACTCTCTCCAGAGGGAAGCCCATGCCTGTAATGCTGCTGACAAACCGCTTCCCCGACACGTCCAGACTTCTCAAACACTCCGGCTCACGGACGTCTGCCGCACTCGAGGTGGGGGTGGGGGCAGGGCTGGGAACGGGTTAAGGGGCTGTGGGTGTGGAGGGGGGGGTGAACATGGAAAATAAAGTTTGCATTAATGAATTATCTTCCATCATTTGGATCTTTCACATCAAAGCTTTTTGATCTGACTGGTTGATTCTGGCGCTGCTGTAAGCTGCCTATAATATACATTGTATGGCTACATAGTTGTCTTGAATACCAGTATTTAGATTTGTAAGTTACAGTGATAGTTAAGCTAAGCAAATAGATCATGTAAGCAAAAAATGACACAATTCAATACAGGGGGATGCAACAGTCAGAATTTTGGGGTGTAGTGAATGTTAGCCATGTTTATGTATTTTCAAGGAAGTAATTTGAACTGCAGTTGTTTTGAGGGGTCTACATGTACATGGTAGCACTGACCCCAAAAGACATGACTGATTGTTGTATCCCTCCGTACCACAGGATGGAATAACACAATTAGAACATGAATGATGCATGGTAATATGACACCGAGCTAAAATCTCTATTGAAAACCCCCGCCATGCAAGAGCACGCTACATTGGTTGGTCACCTCTACTTCTAAACACATGTACAATAATAATAACATGCCCGATTACCCCTGCAAATTGTCAACCACCTGCTGTGAAGTATTAGTGATGGGGAAATGAAACAAAGGAAGATGCCTACGATTTGTCACAAGGCAACATGGGAACTGCTTTTGAAGGATGTAATGGGAAAACAAGACTTGATGTACAATGAGAATTTTTCTGAAAGTCAAAAAATATCTAGTGACCAAAAAATATGGATACAAGCATTGCACATCTGCAATTTTCCAAGCAGAGGTTTCAGTCTGGGATATCACAAGTGGTCGCCACAATAATGGAAGAAGAAAGAAATCGCAGCCACTGCACCTGAAGCAAAACCTCTGCTTGGAGAGTATGAGAATTTCCTCCATGAATGCTTTTGTCTTTCTCAATCTGACAAATGTTCAGAAAAATTCACCCTGTGAACATAGAAATGACACCTTCGTATGCACCTATGGTATTTTGTCAAAGAAAAGAAAACAACAACATCAAACGATAACAAATTAAGATGAAATGGTGAAATTAAAGTAGTGCGTTAACACCGTAAAACGTACCAAACCAAAACTGTCCACCTCAACTCCAGAGTCAAGTACCTGAGTCGTACCAGAGGCTAGAACCTGAAAGTCGCAAGGGAAACAAAACACAAGACAGGGGCTGTTATCATCCAAGTCAAACTGAAGTGACTATGTGACATACTATTAGTTCACTCTTCAGTACTATTCAAGCAGTAGTTCTGTGTTAGCCAGTCACACATTACGAAATAGAGTGGAAGCAAGTTGAAGAAGGTCAGGTTGAAAAAAAAAACATATATACAAACCTGTTTGGGGCTTGTTACCATCATGTCACAATGGCTAGACTATATACTATATATTATAATAATATCTACATTGATGAAGGTTAGACTACAAAATGTATATCATATATGTAGTACTATACTATACTATATCATATACATGTAGTATATGGCATTCAATGTACCCTGTACAAGTAAGCAAAACTACATGAATTTGGAGTATTCCAGTCAGGAAAGTTGCCACCTATATTTTGGGTGGACAGAAATTTCACCAGTAAGTGTCTTCATCATGAAGACAGGAATTTCAGCAGCCGGTATTTAAATGAATCTCTCTCGCCTTTACCAGACTTCAGAAGCAAAAGAATAGTCTGCTAAAGGAGTACAGTTTGCCACTCCCGCATAGAACCTCTCCAATTCCCCGATTATTCCTGTAGTTCTGGCTACTGCAAATATAGAGATACTGCTTGCTTGACTTGACTTGACTGTACCTTTGGGTGAACTGATATCCCATGGGACCAACCGTAAAACTCTTCCCTACCTTCTAAATAATGCATACTCGGTCACATATGGCCAATTACACTTAACCAATAGAGAACTGATAGTCAAACGGCTAACTTCAGTGTCATAAAGGTTCAGACAAGCAGTGTCAATGGCCCATCAAATTTGCCCATGCACAAATTCTTTCACATATTAACATGCACTCACTCGTCTAGTCCTCATATTTTCCAATGAAGATATTTCTCCAATACAAATGAAATTACAAATATATGTAGATACACACATACATGTGCCGTACGGTAGATATCTAGACCTGCTACCTTGTTTAGATTCATAATACAGGTACATGTACATACATGTACATATGTTAGTAAATGTATGTGATCAACTGGAAAACATACTCCAGTAGATACCTAGACCTGCTACCGTGTTTAGATGGTGTGCATATTCAAAATACATGTATGTGATCAACTGAAAAACAAACAAAGTCACCTGATTTGAAGATGGACTTGACCGCGGGGGCAGCGGAGGAAGCGGGTGACCCCTCGGTGAGTTCTGACCGCTGCGCGCGGCCGAGTCTGACGGCAGGGTCCTGTCCTCCTCCAGGGCGGGGCTGGCAGATGTGCTGGAGGGGGGGCTGAGGGGGATCACCTGTTCATACAGGGGGTTGGCTACTGCCGTGGGGAGGGAGCTAGGTCCTGTGGGGAGGGGGCCATTGGATGCACCCTCCGGAAGTGCATGTCTCATGTAGCCTGGACCTATATCAACCGGTTTACTCCCCGTGTTTGGGACATCCACCAGCAGTCCCCCTGTGTCAGAGTGCGTGGTGGGGTACGGCAGGCCAGGGGGACTGCTGGCATCCAGCTCAGGCGAAGCCGTTGGTATTGGCGGGAGCGGGCTGTTTTTTAGGAAGGGGTTGTTGGCCGCCACGAGTTTGGAGGTGGCGGCCGCGCTGGGTATCACCCCGTTGGGGATACCGTTACTGTCCGCAGCTTTCCCGCCACCGCCGCTCTCCGACCTGGCTTTGAACGCGACCCTGCTGCCATGTTTCCTCGTGACCGTGACCTCGACCCTCTCCTGGTCGGCGGCGGAGGGCGCCGCTCCATTCGAGTCCGCCGGACGTTGCTCCTCGCCGTCCGAGCAGACGGTCGAGTCCAACAGAACAGTCTTCAGCTCCTCCATCACGTTTATCGTCTTGAGTTCCATGTCGTCAAACGGGCTCGACTCGCCCTCAAAGTCCGTGATTTTGAAGCTTGCCGCCGGCGCCTTCGGTTTCCCCTCCTGGCTATCCTGTGTTTTCGGCGCAGCAGGCTGCGGCTGGAGGATGCTGGAGGGGTCGTAGCTGGCTAGGGCGGGGTTCGTGGGGGGCCTGGGGAGGGAGGCCGTTGTCGTCTCCCCCGGGGGACTGCTGTTAGTGTCTGTGGCATCGTTCGCTGGTGGCGATGGACACGAGGAAGAAGCCTCGTTTTCTGCCCTTCGCTGCGCTTCCATAGCCTGCTGGTACTCCCTCCGCTTCTTGGCCATCTCCAGAACGCTGTTCTCGTGTCGGAAGTCATACTGTAACAGGCAGAAAGACAAAATATTTTATAACTCCCATCAAAGCTATGCTTTTTCCTGAGCATGGGAAGACTGCCAAAGAGTTGGAGGGACTAGAGATGTACATTTGTTCTCATGTTGGGGGTCATAATGTAACATGCATAAAGAAAATATATATTTCAAAACTCCAATAAAATCTACATGCCAATTTGCCAACCCCAGACCCCAGGAAAGCCAAAGAGATAGAGGGACCAGATTACAACAGATATACACTTGTCTTGGCATTAGAGAGGCAGAGTTGAGGGCCATGGAGCATGCAGCATGGAGAAAACTTTTGGAGGGGAGCAAGGGGTGACAGTATCTGGGATACACATGAAAGCAATCAAAGCTAAAAGCTTGCTTAAAAGCATGACTTCAATCTAATTCCACAGCTTCTTTATAAAACTATAGTCATCACAAGCCATTCTCTTGAATGGAAACTTTAGTTAATGACTGCATCGCATTAGCAACATTGACTACAGAGTACAGCAATATTTTGCAATAGAAGGGGAATGGAAGCTTTTTACAGTGGTACAATTTCACAATTGAAAACATTCTGTAATACAGTGGTCATACAAAAATGTATATATTCAATCATGGTGTCATGACTTTGCGAAGGAAAGGTTGTTGCAAATACTGTGTCAAGATGTACAGGCCTTACCTCAAGTGAGAGTGCTTCTGACGGATTCTTGTGGTGATAGCTGATAGGTAGGGTTACCTGTTGGAAAGGTAGAGTACATGATCAGAGAAACAAGTAGAGTTCTAGTATTTACTTAGTAAATGATGACACATCATGTGTTGTCAAATTACCTAGGTATCTGTACATTCAGGTCTGGGCCGAAATTCCTAAAAAAACTGAAGAGAGCATTTACACTAAATCTGTTTGATTTTGAAAATCAGGGAAAGGCCTAGGAAATAAGTCATTAGAAGAAACAAACTTACCCTTCTGGGTGGCTTGAAACTCTCTCCAACTTTGATCTCTATTCCATCCAATGCAGCACTTAGCCCTGTAACTGGTATACATTTAAAAATAAGCATGTGCATGTAACATGTACATAAAGTTTGGTTCATTCAGTAACAAATATATGTTAATAAAAATCTATACATATATCTACTACTAGTAACTTTCTAACAGATACAAACATGTACATTTGGACTACCTTCCCAATGAGACCACGTTTTTGGCAGTGTCTCAAATAACTTCCCATTGACATAAGCATTAACACCCGGTTTACACGGCGACAAAATCCGTGCATACGAAAATGGCGTACGCAAATTTCGTACGAAAATTGCGTACGCAAAGGTTTTCCCTCCGTGTAAACAGGTCCCAATTTGCGTACGCAAGTTTCGTACGAAATTTTCGTACGCCACCTCTAGATCGCCCAGCGGGGAGTTTTTATGACTTTTCGTGCCTCCGGGCGTCGTGTAAACAGGACTGATCGTACGCACGCACTTCCTTGATGCAGGATGTCAGGGGTCATATGCAAATTCCCTATATTTTTCACATTTTTCACAGTATTTTGATCACATTTGACTGTTAGGATATTGTTAAGCCTGTTTGTAGTGACCACCTGGCCACATAGATCAGATCTTATCACATCAGTCCCAGGTCAGTATTCAAACCTGAATCCTGAATTCATCTCTTGTTCAAGTTCTTTGGCAATGATTAAACTTAATACATCAAATGGTATTTTTTTCACTCTTGGAGTCTGCATATTGAGGAAACCAGTCATAAAATTTACTTGCTGTGGGCTAATTTGATCACTACTAGTAGGTAAAAGGTAAAAACCCAGCTGATACTCACAGGTGGCAGAGTTTTGTCTCTCTAAGCCCCTCCCAAACGCCATAGCATTATCTTCTTCAACTGACTGGCTACTTCTAGACCTGAAAATCAACGAAATAATGATAAAACAGTTAGCACACAGAACATATCCTAACCAAACCAGTCTGCATCTAGTATACATGTATATCTCCAAGCAGATCATAGGGTGGCAAGGCGGTACCCATTGGCCAGAGGATGGCTGAAGACACTCCTCTAGGCTCTGGCCAATGGACACTGCCTTGCCACCGTATGATCTGCTTGAAGATTAGTATATACAGTAAAATGGTCTCCTGCAATATGAAGAAAAATTAATCAACTACATAATGTTACATGTAGAAAAGAAAATCAGCATTAGTGAACACAATCCTACCTTTGCATTACGAAAGGCTTCTAATATAAAGGCTAAATTTCTTAACAATCTCTGTCCATTATTTGCTTGACCCACATCTGATTGGATATTATGTACCAATGTAATTTGGCCAGTTGCTGTGACCTGACCTCCTTATAGCTTGCTTGCAAATTATCACCCATTATTCTGTTTGAATAATAGATGATCACAGCAAGATTTTGGAACTCAATTGATGCTAACTTGAACTGTTTCTGTCATTTTTTCTTTTTAATTAAAGGGCTACATATTGAAATTAATGACTCTAGATCTTTTTCGTGAAGAGATGATTATCACATACACATAAAATGATATACTCAGAATCACATTAGTATACTTACAGTACAAACTTCATACTGCTGTCTGATCTTTGCAGTAATGACTGTAGTATTAAATATGCCTTGGATAAAATGTTGTATGAAATACGTAATACGTACTAGTATTTCACTTGGCACAAAAAGCTTTCAGAATCAGATATAATTTTCCTCCTTTGGAGTATGTATTAGTCGATGCAGTGGAAAGTAGGAAATCAAACGCGTTCGGGACAACAAACGAAATAGTCCGTACCAGGGACAACCTGGCAGTCCTTTTAAAACAAAGAACAATGAGTGTCGCAGGTGCTAGGTGTTCCCTTTGAGTCACATGAGAGTACACTCACGGTACAACTGGGACAAATCACTTCAAGATGATGTCATCAGCTGGTTAGATTCGATGACATAAAAACGAAATAAACACGAAAACAATCTTTTCCGGAGCACAGTTATGTACAGGAAGGCTTACCATACGTACCAAGTTGATGATGGTTGCTTCTAGATCGACCTGACGTCGACAGATTGGACGATAACTTATGGAAGGTGTTCCGAGCTTGGCAAATCCAGCTTACGAGTGGCAGCCATATTGGCTCTAAATTTAGGATGTGACGTCACTATCATAAATTTCACCAATCCTTGCGTTTTTCAATGCGCAGAAGTGTTCTAAGGGGCGAAATCTCTAATCTTGTGTAATTCGGCGGATCCCAAAGTGCTAAAAATGACTGTGAACTTAATGTCTTCCTGTAACCTTTCACCGTGTAAATTCTGCTAGTCATATGACACATATGGACTAAACCATTCAGAGGGGGGATATGTTGACAAAACATATAAATGTCAGGAACGTTTCTCTGGTAAATAGTCATAAAATCTACATTTCGAACTGAAAGGTACATTTTAGAATATTTTAATAGGAAATTTTGACATCTAAGAAATACATGTGGCTCTAAACAAACGACTCGATATATCTAAATGGTTTGTTCCGTATTATAACCTTTGACCTTACGATCGGCCCATATGTTCACAACTTTGTCTTGCATGCAGTTTGGTCTTTTTCTTGTCCTGAATGTAGGAAACACGACAACAGAGACCCTGCAGAGACCGAGCTCAAGTCATGGAGAACGGCCGTGCAAGTACGAAACCAATTTCACAAGGTAAGTCGTTTTGTCATATGTGTGAAAACTGAATATCATTTTATTCGCGCCAGATTAAGTTGTGTGTAAGCTTAAGTGGGGATTTATGTAAAAATTCTGCCTTAAAATGTCATACAGTGCCAAAGAATACTTTGGAAAGTGTTGCTCTGTTGTGCTTTCTTCAGGTTCAATGGATCTTTAAACAGTTCGTAAGTTAAATCAGTCCAAATGTTCTGGGCACCATTTTTTAAGAAACAAACACTGGCGCTTTTGTGTGCTGGCCCCTGATTGGTCAATCGAGTGGTCACACCACGGATCTTACCACAACACAAGTTGTACGACAGCTTCATCCAGTCGGGGAATTTTGCAATTTTCGCATTGGTTTTATTTGGGTGATGGCTTCTTCAAAAAGTTAAAAGAAACATTGTCTGATTTAATTTAATCCAATCAGTCATGAAATCAGTACATAATGTTAAAATATATTTAAGATATTTATCTTTTCAATCACAGAAGGAAAACATATTGTTTTTGCCCTGTTTCTTCTTCCTATTCTTCTAATAATCGTCTCCAAACAAATAATGTCAATTACCTGAACCAGACGTCTGTCACCATGGTGACTAGTGTTGCGTTACATCATGTTGCAATTTTATAGCAGGACAGATTTAGACTCCTCTCACCATTTAAATTTACATGTATATGAAAGTGAATTAAGAGAGCAAACCATATGCGAAGGTAAACATTATGCCTTTGCTTTGCAAATGTTACCTTTCTAGTCTAATTTATATTCACCTGAAGCCAGGTCGGTTGGTAACTTGGTACCCTTTCCCAGGGTAATAAGACTGCCATGTAGTTAGACAGTAAAAGGCAGTTCAGTGTGAGAAATTGTAGCCGTAACGGTCCGGGTGGTGTTTCCATTCCACTGCCAGTTTGGTCTTGAAGGCGTTGACTGAACTACTTTTCACTGTTGCTGCCATGAAATAGTACATAAGAGATATTGATATTTCTGTTTATACTCCTACAGTGACATGCACAGCCCCTGTGAACATCGCAGTCATCAAGTACTGGGGGAAGCGAGATGAGCAGCTCGTCCTGCCCATCAACCCCTCCCTTAGCGTCACCCTGTCTCAGGACCAGCTGTGCACTCGCACCACCGTGGCTGCCAGCGTCGACTTCAAGAGGGACCGCATCTGGCTCAACGGGCAGGAGCAGTCCATCGACACGCCCAGGCTGCAGAAGTGTCTCGGGGAGATCCGACGGCTCGCAAGGAAGCGGAAGCACGAGGAGGAGAGGTCTGTTTCTGTACCATCTGTTTTAAGCCGGTATAACTGCCCTTTGGTGTAACACACCAGCTTCTGTATCTGTATAGCCGGTATAACTGCCCTTCGGTGTAACACACCAGCTTCTGTATCTGTATAACCAGTTTAACTGCCCTTCGGTGTAACACACCAGCTTCTGTATCTGTATAGCCGGTATAAATACTATAATTACCCTTCGGTGTAACACACCAGCTTCTGTATCTGTATAACTGCCCTTTGATGTAACACCAGCTTCTGTATCTGTATTGCCGGTATAACTGTCCTTTGGTGTAACACACCAGCTTCTGTATCTGTGTAGCTGATATAACTGCCCTTCTGTGTAACACACCAGCTTCTGTATCTTTATAGCCGGTATAACTGCCCTTTGGTGGCGGCAGCTGGCTATATTACACTGAACGACTTGTCACACCTAACCCTTCAAAATCTAACTCTAAATAGTGTTTAAAGCTATCTAATGACAATGCCCCTACTGTACTTGCTGACAGAGAGTTCCACTCTGTGATAGGTGTAAGAAAGCGTGAATTTTTGAACGCCTCAATCCTTGGTTGAAAACTCTGGTATTTGAAGGTATGACAATTTCTTGTTCTTAAAGGTCCGGTGACCTGCTGGGCTGCTGCGTCCACATCTGCTCGGAGAACAACTTCCCGACCGCGGCGGGGCTGGCGTCCTCGGCAGCGGGGTACGTGCAAAGCCGTGTGCAATAAAACAAGTGATAGGCAAAGTAAAATCCCAGCAGATAATATCTAAGTGTATAGTCGGAAATAAACTGAGGTAACATTTCATAAGTTTACATAATCATGGTAACAAAATTATAATAGGACCTTAGAGATATAACATACATACTAGAACATAAATGCTGAAGCATGACTAATACACAGATGAATAACTGAGGAAGTGTAAACTAGAAAGGTGTAACATTTGCAAAGCAAATGCATAATGTTTACCTTCACCTGGTCTAGCCCTAGCCTGGTTACCAGACCTATTATAGCTCCCGAGTCCCTACATCCTCTGGACGCAAATTTCTCGGAGAGGATGTAGGACTCAGGAGCTATAAGAGGTTTGGTATTAAACCAGGCTAGTCGGGCCTACTCACTCACTCACTCACACTCACTCTCCGGTTTACCGTCTGTTGTTCCCTGTCTTCCGAGGGTTAAACGTGCTTGCACAGTACAACTGAACTGTACATATTCGTACCAGGTACGCCTGTCTGGTGCAGTCGCTGGCCCGGCTGTTCGGGATAGACGGAGACGTGTCGCACATCGCGAGGCAGGGCTCCGGGAGCGCCTGCCGCAGCATGTATGGCGGGTTCGTGGAGTGGACCATGGGGAGGGCGGAGGACGGGTCGGACAGCGTCGCGAAACAGGTCTTTGTTTTTGTTTGTTTGTTTGTTTATTATTTGCACAGCAGCAATAAAAAAATTATACATAGTAAATTAATGAATAAAACAGGTGCAGGAGGAGGGAAAAAAGCTTATTTAGCTTATGCTAAGCCCTCCTCCTCTATACTAACCAAAAGTAAACATAATTGAATTGAAATAAGGCATACATACATAAGGAATTGTTATCAAAACAATTCAAACATGGGCAAAATGATACAATAACAATAATGAAACAGTAGTATACATAAATTGAGATGAAATGAAATCGATATGAAATAATACATATATACATAAGGAATTGTTATCACAATAATTCAAACGTAGGCAAAATAAACAATAACAATGTTTACAGGTGGCCCCCGCCGAGCACTGGCCGGAGCTCCGGGTGCTGGTGGTGGTGGTGAACGCCGGGAAGAAGGCGGTCGGCAGCACGGAGGGGATGCAGACCACGGTGAGGACGAGCGCGCTGGTGGCGTACAGGGCCGAGCACGTGGTCCCGTCCCGACAGGACGACATGAAGCGGGCCGTCCTGGACAGGGACTTCCAGGTTTGTTTGTTTGTTTGTTTGTTTATTTAGGAATCTCCCATTAGTGATAATATGTACATCACTATTCTTCCTGGAGTCCTTTACATAAAATACAACTATTATTTACATACACGTTCAACTGCTATTATTGACATTATACTACAGGGAAACTTATTTTATCAACATAGTAAATTACACATTAAGCATCCAGGTGAAATCTTGGTGCATTATGTACAGATTTGTTTATTTGCATTTATGATCTGTTATGAGTTCACTTTGTTCACCATTATTGTATATAGCCTACCTTTAGTTGTGTTTTCGTTTGGATTCTGTTATCTGTACCTTTGATTCTCTTTTGTTTATGTATTACTGAAATGGTGTCGTATAAGCCCTCACGGGCTGGGCTCAGGAAAAATCATTCATTCATTCATTCCTTCATTCATTCATTCATTCATTCATTCACTCACTCACTCACTCACTCACTCATTCATTCACTCACTCATTCATTCCAGGCGTTCGGGGAGATCACCATGAGGGACAGCAACCAGTTCCACGCCACGTGCCTGGACACCTACCCGCCCATATTCTACCTCAACGAGACGTCCAAGCAGATCATCCACCTGGTGCACAGGTATAACCGCCACCACGGGAAGGTCAAGGCCGCGTACACGTTCGACGCCGGGCCCAACGCCGTGCTGTACCTCCTACAGGACGACGTGCCCGAGGTGTTGGCACTACTCAAACACTTCTTCCCCGCAAACGCTAACAACGACTCGGAACGTACGTTTGTCCGCGGCCTGCCAGACGTATGCAGGAAGGACGTTTCATCGGACCTGCTGGACTCGGTCGGTTTGGAGCCCTCGCCGGGCGCGGTGCAGTACATCATCCACACCAAGGCAGGACAGGATCCACAGGTCCTCACAAACCCTCAACAGGCACTGCTGGATGAGAACGGATGGCCGAAGAAACAAAACTAGAAGCATTTCAAGCCATCAGCATGTCTGAAGAGTTAGTAGGACAAACAAGACATTGATCTTTTTAAGAGGTGAATAAACATTTTTTAAATTATTGGACTCTAACAAGACAATGTGTAACAAGACATATTGTCAACTTATATTATAAAATTTCATTGCTGTATTATAAAATCTGCTACTGAATCTTCCTGGCCCTAGTCTACAACTGACCTATGTGATGTACATGTTGATCTATTTGATGATTCCAATCAGAAGCCAAAATACTTTTTAAAGCCATTTTTTAAATCGTTAGGCATGTGTTAAGTGCAGCTGGGGTCAGAGCACTATACTGAAGCTAGTTACACATGTTTGGGAAGTTTGGGAAAATGAAAGTCCTCTACAATGAAGCTTTGTAAATCCATGAACAAATGTTTCTATGCCAATTATCACATTATATGTAGTACTTACAAATAAACCTCTGATGATTCTAATATATTTGCAAGGTTGTCTAGTTCATTGTTTTGTTGAAACAGTACGCAGCCTTAGTACTACTTACCCTAAGTAGCACTTCTGAAATTTGTAGCCACACCTTTAGCATGTTATCGAAAAGAATAGGTGGTCCTACCCTGTGTGAGTGGTTGAAACATTACAGTCCGGTCTTACGCAGCTTGTAATAACATATACAAAACTGGTGTATTCAGACTTTCAGCACAAACGACATAGTCTTTTGTATAATGGTAGATTGTTTTTACGTTGTTGAAGATGTCATACGTTTTTGTGCAGTGAGTTTTACACATGATATGTAAAACATCTTCTTGCTCTTAGAATATCATAGTCAGCAAATTATTTTCACTATATGTTTTGCTGTTAGTTGGGACATCACAGATTCAACCATCCAAACTCTAATGTGCATACAATACTTTATAGGGCATTACCCTCTCTTCTTGCATGTTTTCCCAGTGCATTTCTGTCACCCTTTTCGCTTTCTTCATCTACCACAATCACGTTGTCTGTTTCGATTGACTTCTACATGCAGCTATCTACGATAAAAATGATATACTTTCCTGCTAGTTGCAGAGATGTCCATAGAAAAAGAAAACTGTCAGTTTCACGTTATGCAACGCTGAACATTAAGTTTACTGCCATAATGTACATGTACGCACTGTGCACACAGGTGTTACCTCATATTGCTGAGTGGTTTCTGTCTCCCTTCATCACGTCTAGTTTATTACTGCCCGTGCTGTATGGCGCACACAATATAGTCTCCACCAGACTTCTTATGCAGGCTGAATAAATCGTAGAAATCGACTTAAAAAAGGGTATTAATTGGCCAGAGAAGGTAGCCGGCCAGAGAAGCTTCTCG